TTTCTTAGCCTCAATCTGACTTCTAAATGTGCTATGATCTACTTTCATAGGGCTGCTGAAGGGATTAAATGCAGATTTATATTGTTCTAGTACACACTGATGAAGCCCTGCTCCCATATTAGTTTTTAAATATCCTACTTCATGAAGCCTCAGACTTCCCAGCCTACTGCCTTGGCCCCACCCCCTCTAAGTCCCAAACATTTCCCAAAATTCAACAGCTAAAAGATTACTCTTAGCATATGAAGGTTTTAGGACTCTGCTCCAGTATATGTTCTGAATCACTGGTAACCATTCATTATTAGTGATTAAATATTTAGAATATTCCCCTTGATTAAATGAAGTAAATATAAAGCAGTGCCTGACACATAGTAGGTGCTCAAAGTTATTTACCATGATGTCTCCAATATGATTGGACATGCCGTTGACTTAATAGCTCTTGAATATTTTGATCACTCCCCAGGAGCAATGGAGCTAAACAATAAAATCATGTTTGACTTAAAAAAAGAAATGTGGGGCACCTGGGTGGCACAGTCAGTTGGGTGTCCGACTCTTGATTTCAGCTCAGGTCACGATCTCAGGGTCATGGGATCGAGCCCTGTGTCTGGCTCCACGTTCAGCACAGAGTCTGCTTGGGATTCTCTCTCCCTCTCCCTCCTCCCACTGGTTCTCGTTCTCTCTCACTCGCTCTCTCTCTCAAATAAATAAATCTTTGAAAAAAGTTGTGAGGCTAGACCTGAGTAAGAATTAAAATAAAGAACTGAGCAAGAATAATGGGTTCCAAATGTGGAAAGGAACAAAAATGTGTTTTAAATGTTGATTCAATTTTCATTAAGAGTTTTTAATTAGTCCAGAAAGAGAATACCAGCAACAAACTATGCTTCCCTATGGGATCACCAGAAAACCAAAAAAAGTCTTTATCCACTATTCTCCATTCCTGCTTCCATTCCAGCCTCCTCTCATCTCTCTTCAGAGCTCTGCAGTTTGTTATTGTCTGGAATATTAACTTGCTTATAAAATCACCTGAAGAAAGCACCGGCATGAGACAGAGGACGAGGGGGGTTGTGAGAGGGTGGGTGAGAGAGAGAGAGGTGTTAGCTGTCAAAAATTAACAGCGCTATTCTTTTGCAAGGAATGTATCATGAGCATGCTTCCAAAACAAGCCAGTGTCAGAGCTGTGTTTTTGAAAAATTACTTTTCTTAATCAAGTTCCCAAAGGCATTCTGAAGAGGGAATATTAACTCCTTCCCTGCCTTTACATTATGTAGGCCACAGGGCATCTTAAAATGTTTCCATCTATTCCTATACCTCACCATAAATTTTTCAGCATTTCACTCCCCTGCTGTTTCAAGGAGATACTCATACAAATTTTTAAAAGACATTTCACATATTCAAACATTCAAATATGCATGCTCCTTACAGTTTTTCAAAGTTCAAGTACAAGGTAAGAATAAAACTTTCAAGAATTTCATTATGTCTCACATTATGTTGGTCCACATTTTCATTAGATGAGTTATGAATCCGCTGCACCAAGAAATAAACACTGACGGGTCTTCATGTAAGAAAGCTGGTCAAGAATTTAATTTATGATACTTTACAAAAACCCCATTTTTATACAAACTGTCTTACCACTGGGTGGAAGCAACATTAGTGTTATTTAACCAGAAATGGCAGTAGTCTTAGAAGGAACAGCTCATTAAGGCAGAATTCATAGAGGGTGCTGCAGCCTAACTAGTCACGCTCAGTCTGAACACTAAGATCAGGACTCCTGACAATCACAAAGACTCTAATAAAATTAAAAATTCAGTTCCTCAGTCACAGCAGCCCCATTTCCTTCAAGTACTTGATAGCCAGAAGTTACTAGACCCGGGCCTGATACAGACTTTACTATAGAAGGACAAAAAATGATGCAGATAGTAAAAACTGCAAGAGAAACTGCAATTCTCAATTACACAGAGTCTCCTGATTTGTAAATGTTGGCAATCGGAAACATAAAGAATAACAAAAACACTGTGTGGAGACCCAAAGGAGACTGAGGAGGCAAGACAACTAGATGCATTTTTGTACCTGGCGCTGGATTTTAGAAATAAGTTAATGGGAGACAGAGGGAAATCTCAATAAAGTCTGCAGTTCCATTAATACCAGTATCAGTTTCTTAGTTTTGACAAAGGTGCCACAGAAATGCAAGATGTCAATCATGGGAAAACGGAGTGAGGTGTATGTGGGAAAACCCTCTACTACCTTTTCAACTTTTCTGTAAGTCATAAATCATTCTGAAACCAGACATTTAGTAAACAGTAACAACTGTGTGTGCCAAACCTGTCCCACAAGTCTCCAGTTTGTAATCTCTAATCATCATGAACCCCAAATCACAAATACCATATAGATATTATACACGGCACAAAAAATAAATAATACATTTTCATAAATCAGAATAAAGTGACCAATCACGGAGCTGCCATCAAAAGAGGGATGGAGTAAAATAGCTGGCAAAACAACATAATACATTTTGAAGCGACTTTCATACACTTAGCCTAACATACTCAGAACTGTGGAAAGTCTAAAATCAAGAAGATTCAAATATATTCATATTTTATGTATGGATGTAAGATGATTTTACATTCGGAAACAATATAAACAGTAGGCATTCAAAGATCATGCTGGAGAAACAAATACCCATGGGCCAGTCAAAACTCTAAGATGGACTATAATTCAAGTAGCCCAAATTTAAGATTCATCATAACATCCTGAGAAATCAGGAAGAGAGAAACAATGGCCATTGGAGCAATCCATTAGAAGATGAGCTCTGTGAGGTCTGGAAACACTGAAAGGCCTCCTTGGCTGAGGAGTTGGATCAAAAAGAAAAATAAACAGGAATGAACATGAAAGAGATGAGAATGCTCTGAAAAGTATAAAGGAGTGAGGGGCAACAGGCTGGTTAGATCATGAGAGGTCAGGTTAAAGAGGGCCTTGAAAGCCAAGCAGGAGTTTGGTCTTGAAGCAGAGCAAAGGGACAACTTAACATCCCTATAGAGGGGAGTGGTGTGCAGAAAGTGGAGCTTGAAGAAGTTGAATTTGGTCATGTTCCTACTAAATTAATTTGGCAATGTTCCCCCCTACATCATTCCACACCCCTGTAACTTTCTTACACGTCCAGATTCAAAGCCACAATGTCACCTTCAATTCCCCCCTCTGATCTCACCAGTTGCAATCCTGTGAACTCTAGACCTCACACATCTTCCATCCATCTCCTACCCCTGCTGCCAAGACCTCAGTTCAAATCATTTTTACCCTCTCTACTCCCCCTCTTCCCTCTCTGGTACTGCCTCTGTTGGTGACGCTAGACATTACTGACAAAGAAACTCTCCTAAAGCACAGCTTATGACTGTGACCTTTGCTGGCTCTCCACTTTTTTTTAAGACTCAAATTGACAGTTTACTTATTTTGATTCCAGTAGAGTCAACACACAGTGTTATAAGAGTTTCAGGTGTATAATACAGTGATTCACCAATTCCGTGTATCACCCAGGCTGGCTCCCCTCTAACGAGCATGAAGCCCTACGATTTCCCCCTACCTCCAGGCCTATATTCTGTCCCTTCCCCCCAAAACTCCCACACTTATTCTCTGAATATTCCCTTTTCTTGTCCACCTGCTTCCTCTGCCCAGAGAGTGCCTTTCTTCTCTTCGCTCCCTCTTTCAGCCAACACTTTCCATGCACAGTGACTGACAGCTTTTAAGAAAGAACAAAAACACAAACAATGTCACTCTTCTGCTTAAACCCTTCAGTGGCTCCTGTCTATAAAACAGAAGTCCAAGTTCCTTAGTACACAGAGCATATAAGGCCTCCTCTGACCTAACCCTCACCTATCTCTTCAGAAAAACCCTTCTACCCTATCCACTTACTGCTGGATATTTAATGCTCTAGGAATATCTACTGCAAATATCACCAAATTATTTCTTGTCTTTGTACCTTCAATCACGCTGATTGATCCCTCTGCCATTTCATCCTTTCTTGGATTGGCTGTTTCATCTTTTACGATTCATAACCTCAAGGAGATTTTCCTTAACCCCCTGTGTCAAATAAGCTACTCATTACTCCTCTGTGCTCCAGGACAACATGGCATTTCTACCTGAAGCAAATCACATACTATGCTGTGTTTAGGTGTGTCCTTCTATTGCCACTCTCTCTGATAAAATATAAGCTAAGACTGTTCTTGTTCACTCTCACATACTTGCACCTAGCAAATGTTCCCTTAACAAATGCTGACCTCAAATAAAAATAGGCATTACTGAGCTCTATATCTCAAACAAATGCCGAGATCATACTTCTGATTCAGCTACACGTAAAAATTCAGAATCTTCAAGCCTAACAAGTTCAGCATCTGAGAGCCCTACACCTTTCATTACCAGGCGGTGAACTCCTGGGGGGGTGAAGAATTCCTGATTCAGAATCTGAGAGGAATGATGTTCCTGTTTCTTTAGCAGCTGGAAGGCTCCTGCTTGATGTGTACTGGGAGCTGTTCAGCCTGGCAAAATGACCATCAGGTTAGCAATCTACTATTCTCAGTAATTAAATATAGAGTGGGTTATCACAGTCTGCCTCCAGGAAGGAGTGGGGAACAAGTGAATACAGAGACCAAGGAATAAAGCAAGGGATGAGGTGAGAGTCCCAGAGATAACCCCAGACAAGAAGACTTTTTTACATGGAAGACTGAAGGGAAGGTACATGTGCTCAAAGACTCAAATCAAGGGAGTACATCAGGAAATGGTGCCCATCCTAGGAGATAGCTGTAAGGTAGATATATTTTAAAAGTGGTAATATAGGAAACCATTAACCCCAAGGGATGACTCCAAGGTGATGTCACTGAAGAAGTCTGTCCCCACCCCTCTGTTCTTTCATGCTCCTTGCTCTCCCCCAATCCTGGAGGTGAATAAAATGCATATCAACAACCTTGCTTTAATGAAAAAAAAAAAAAGGATAAAAATAGCTTTAAACAACGTACCTTTGATTTTTTGTTCAGTGGCCTAAAATAAAAACAAACAAACAAAAAACAATGTAAATATGAAACTGAAAGAAATGGATTGTTAATGATAAAATGTTCATATTTTACTATTATATAAGACATACACACTTTTATTAAATAAGGAATTTGTCATTTAGGTGAACTGCATAGGAAAAGATATGCAAAGAAAGCATGCTTTTCCCACAGATGTGCCCCATTGTCCCTGATACAATGTTTATTAATAAAGTTTGAAATGTTTCTTTAGATACAAAGCAGAGGAGACATCATTGTATGACAGTAAATAATAAAAAAAAAATGGTACTGTACTTTTCTCATTATTTAGTTTTTAAAAGAATTTTCTATAACTGTCACCTTTAACATGTGATGGATCTACTCAGTTTTGCATAAGTTTAAAATGGCTTCAAAAATTCTTATTTCAAATGATAAAAAAAATGAATTAAGTTTTCTGGAAGAAAAGCTGAATATAACCATTTTGCCAAATCAGTAATAAATTTCACTCCTGGAGGTTAGGCTGCTCTTTCAGTTAAACACAGTTAACTTTTAAGTATTTTTGAGTGGGGAAAAAATTTCACACACACCTGTCACTTCTGACACATCTGATAATTCATTAAAATTACTGTGTTCAGAAGCTAAACTGACACCAACCCTGCTTTGCCATGCCTGCCCCGTTGTCCACTGTCTCTGACCTAACAAGGAACAGGGCTGCCTCAAGGTACCTCACTCAAACTTCAAGGGCCCCAAAAAGAAGGAACAGATTACAGACAGAGGCCACAAGCAAAAATCAACTTTTTAGTTAAGACCAATTACATGGGAGTCCGAAAAATAAAAGATACAAGGATAGGCAGGAAAAACTGAATAATTCATAGCCAAATAACCAGGAATTGTTCCTAAATAAAGATAAAGGTTTCCTTAAGTGCTATGGGGCACAATAATTTTGGTTAGTCATATTAAATTACTGTTATTAAAAATAGCATTTTTTGAATTAGATCATTATAGAATTAGACGGTAAAGGACTACATGGCAATTATCCTAATCCTGAAGCCATGCCTAACAATCTTTCCCTGGAGAGCCAGAGAGTCAGTCTAGGCAGTGAGCTCCTTTACCAAGTTTTAGAGCACTACTGTTATGCTAAATAATGGAGGCCCATCTTTCACTTCATATGGATCAAAAACTAAAAAAAAAACCAAAAACCAAAAAAAACAAAAAACTGATGGAAGGACAATGGCAAAAGACCAGTAAACTAGCTGGAACACTTAATTTACTTCTGGAGAAGTTGGTTTTAAAATCTGATGGTAGAAAAAACAGTCTTATTAGAGAGAACTTGGTATACGAATACTTTATGAGAAGTACCACGGCAAACAAAATACATAATTTTCTGAAGCTAAAACATTATAGCACAAAAATTGTTTTACATGCTGAAAATCTTTTTTAAAAACTCTCCTAGTCTCTTCCAGTTTACTTCAAAAGGAAACTAACTTACAATACACAGAAGCCATGATCACATTAACCCCAAGATAAACTGTGTTGCTCTTGCAGGCCTTAACATAAAGGCCAGAAAAACAACTCCAAAACAAGTCCACATTGCTTCAGAACAACAGTCAACCTCATTCAGTATTCTGTCATCTACAGAGAATGGAATCAAGAAAACATCCAAAGGTGTCGGCCTATCAGAATACTGACTCATATACTGAAGGAATGTGAGTAACAGAACCCAAGAGCTCCTAACAGATTAAGAGGAAACAGAACTCAGCAAGTGCCACTTCTTTAAAATAAGTCTTTGTGGGTTGGTCCAGGGACTTAGCATATTACTCAAACTGTTCAAAAGATAATTTTCCAAACGGGATCAGTGATTTTAAGAGTATCTGTCTCAAAAAAAAAAAAAAGAAAGAGAAAAAGAAAAAGAAAAAGAAAAACAAAGAGTATCTGTCTATACTGTTCAAAATGGTAGCCATGCCCACATGTGGCTACTGACCCCTGAGGTAAACTGAGTCCAACCTGCTACGTGTAAAATACCAGATTTTTACTTTTTATACTTAAAAATGGTATAATATCTCATTAATAATATGATACTGATTACATGTTAGAATATTCTGGATATATGTGGTTATATAAAATATGTTAAAACTAACTTCAAATTTCTTTTTTACTTTTACATGACCTTGTCATTTAAACCCTCTGGGTCTCATGGGGCACCTGGGTGGCTCAGTCAGTTAAGCGGCTGCCTTCGGCTCAGGTCATGATCCCAGGGTCCTGGGATTGAGTCCCGCATCAGGCTCCCTGCTGAGCAGGGAGCCTGCTTCTCCCTCTGCCTGCCTCTCTGCCTATTAGTGCTTCTCTCTGTCAAATAAATAAATAAAAAATCTTAAAAAAAAAAAAAAACAACCCTCTGGGTCTCAGTTTCCTAATTCCTCAAGAGGGGGGTTTGGGGGGGCTGTACTGCTTACCTTTCAGGGCTATTATGAGGCTCAAATACAACACAGAAAGACTTTTTACAACATTATTCAAATGTGAGGTATCACTGTAGAATCTCTTGTACAACAGAATTAAAGGATTCTGTCAACTCTAGAAGCAAAATTATTTCCATATTGAATATCTTTTTCTTAGAACAAAAACAAAAACAGGGGCACCTGGCTGGCGCAGTCAGTGGAGCATGCAACTCTTAATCTCGGGGTCATGAGTCTGAGCCCCACGTCGGGCATAGAGCCTACTTAAAAAAAACCCTGAGCTATGATTCCACAAGCAATTACTACAATTGCCTCAGTTCTTATAAGGAAGGTATCAGACAACTGGCAGACACACAGCATGCCACGCTGTTTCTGTCAGGCTCTGCACCACTTGTCCCAACCCCTGACCCCTAAGCTCCCTAAGCATACTTGAGTGGCTAAGAGCTCAGTGTCTGAAGCCAGACTCTGAATTCTGGCTCCACCACTTAACACTTGATGTGACCTTGGTTAAAATTAGTTCACTTCTCTAATGCTCAGTTTCCTCATCTGTAAGACTGGAACAAAAACACCTACCCCAGAGCAGTTGTGAGCCTAGAAGTATCTAAATCATGACGAGTTGGTGGGGGGGGGAGGGCAGGCACATGCTTAAGGACCCTGCCTGGCACGCAGGAAGCATGCAAGAGCTGGTGCCCTGGCTCAGTCCTTTCACCCTGGGAAATGGCCCAACTCAAACACACTCCAGGTTCCCCAGTCCTTTTTTTTTTTTTTTTTAAAGATTTTATTTATTTATTTGAGAACGAAAGAATGAGAGACAGAGAGCACAAGAGGGAAGAGGGTCAGAGGGAGAAGCAGACTCCCCGCTGAGCGGGAAGCCCGATGCAGGACTCAACCCTGGGACTCCAGGACCATGACCTGAGCCCAAGGCAGTCGCCCAACCAACTGAACCACCCAGGCGCCCCCAAGTCTCTTTTTTTTTCTTTTCCTAATCATCTACCGTATCTTCACAGTGCCAGGTATCCGAAACTAACATCAGGAATAAGGAATTGATGGCTAAATTCGCCTATTTTGAATGAGATAATTAGGAGTCAGAAAGCTTTTTAAGACTTAGCAAGCAGCATTCAGCCTAGACCTCAGGTCGGCTGCATACAGAGTTTTTTTTTTTTTTTTTTTAAAAAAGGAACCGAGACCAGTGGAGACCAGTGAGCTGAAATCGGGGGCAGGACTGTAAGCCAACACTTGGCTGCCCTAGAGGGCTGCAGTGCTCCAGGCCTGATGATGTTACCACCCTGGCTCCTTGCACCGCTGAACAGGATCCGTAGCCTCAGACCAACACGGCCTTCGGGAGACATGATGATTGATACTAAAATTTCTGAAGGGGAACAAAAGTTCGAAGTTTTCTATAATGTAAGTCTTGCTTAAACCCAAACTGAGTACATTTAAATCCACAAAGCCTATAACAATCCCCTCAGCTCCTAACACAGTAACAAAAATAGTAATGAACACTGGCTTTAAAAACATTCTCAACACTAAAAGATCCCAGTTTGTATTGTTGCTTCCCTCTGGCCCCTCAACCATTATATGCTTTCTAGGAACAATTACATGCTTAAAGTAAAGGTTATACTAAATTATCCCTCTATAATTAACCTATTTCTCAACCTCCTTTTCCCTTCACTACATTTCTCTCAAGATTCCTTCTAGAATTCTTCTAAAAACAGAACCTGGAGATAAACCCATGGTAACAAGCTCCTGCTACCATTGTTGCCCTTTTTAAGTGCAGAAGCTACATTCCCATATACTGTATCAAGTTATTTCCTAAGTCTTGGAATTACAAGAGATAAGTAAACAGCCCTGACTCTTAGATATGAAATAGAAAGCTTTTCAAAAAACAAAACTAAAAATAAAGCCATCCAGTCACTGATCTCATTGTGAGAGATGTACCGAGGCTGAAATATAATGAAAAGCGTGTCATTTTCACGTACAATTTCTTCAAAGAGGAATTTAGATACTTAAAATTTATATTTAAGTAGACAAAATAAAAAACCATCATAGTAAAAACATTATCATCTACAGAAGCTGTGTTACCTGGCTTTTATTTAAAATAGAAAATAATCTGTGATCTGAATTTGAATTCCTTAAAAATACTACAGTGGCCACTGGGGACCAAGTTTCTGTACACACGGAATAAAGACTTGTTTGTTAAATGCTTTACAGAAATTACCTCGATATATTATTTGTGGCTTTAAAGTTCACCTTTAGGTTGTGAAAAATAAAGCAAAAAGTATAAAGGATAGAAGGGCACCCGGCTGGCTGTCAGTGGAGCACGTGACTCTGAATCTCGGGGTTGTGAGTTTGAGCCCTAGATGCGGGGTAGAGATTACTCAAAAATAAAATCTTAAGGGGCGCCTGGGTGGCTCAGTCGTTAAGCGTCTGCCTTCAGCTCATGTCATGATCCCAGGGTCCTGGGATCGAGCCCCGCATCGCATCGGGCTTCCTGCTCAGCAGGGAGCCTGCTTCTCCCTCTCCCACTCCTCCTGCTGTGTTCCCTCTCTCGCTCTCTCTCTCTGTCAAATAAATAAAAATAAAATCTTAAAAAAAAAAAAGGACAAAGGACAACACCATGGCAACCTAATTTTGGAAAAGTGTCAGCTGGGGGTCTAAGGAGCTTCCCATCCTATTCCTAGTTCTGTTACCCTGACAAAACCATAGTTGGCCACTTTAACTCATTTTAATGCTTGACCTCTATCTTTAAAAAAATTTTTTTTTAATGAATAGATCAGAACAGTTATCTGAAGTCTTTTTCAGAAATAAAAATATATAGGTTTTTAACATGTGCATACATTACATAAAACAGGCAGACTGTTTTACTGTAGTGAATTTATGTTCCAACATTCATATAAATGGGCCTGCCTGTCTTATGTAGATGTCTGCCACCTACCTGCATACACCTGCTGGCTCCTTCTACAGACAAAAAAACAAGCTTGAGGAAACTTGTCTTAAAACTCTTGTGACTCACAATCTTTCATATGGGCTGTAAGTGTGCCAACTTGGGATTCTTTTTTGTTTTGTTTTTTTAATAGCTATTTGGTAACAGCCTATAGAAATACCAGCTGTCCTTGCTTCACCAATGTGTGTTATTCAAATTCTGTTGTAAACTGATTATTTGGAATTTGAAGAACAGTCTTATTTACAGTGGCAGTCTCCCCTACTATGCTTAACATTTATTAGAAATATTAAACTTTTCCTTTATATTGTGTTCAGTGGCCAGGGTGCCTGGGTGGCTCAGTCAATTAAGCATCTGCCTTTGGCTCAGGTCATGGTCTCAGGGTCCTGGGATGGAGTCCCCCATCAGGCTCCCTGCTCAGCGGGGAGTCTGCTTCTCCCTCTGTCCCCCCCACCCACTTGTGCTCTCTCTCTCTCTCTTAAATAAATAAAATCTTAAAAATATATATAGTTTTCGGTGGCTAGATATTACTGTGTCCACAGGATACACAAGCAATACCCTACCAATGCTGAAGATCTGGCAAAGGAAGAAAACACTCCCCATCATCGCTAAGGCTCGGTGATGATTCCAGTAGAATGTGGTTAGGGTGAGAGCCTGGAACGGGGTGAGGCAGGGATGGGGCGGGAAAGAGTGTGAAAAGCTGTCATTTGAGATCTGGTGAGAGGCCAAATGACACAAAAGTCATCATTCACATGTTAAAGACACTGACTTCGTGAGTCAGAGATTTAGTTATGAAAGAATATAAAGATGAACCTTAGCAATTAGAGCCATTCTAATTTGTTACAACCTTAAAAAATTTACTCACATCACACATTTTAAAATTGTAAATTTTAAAGAAATCATTCCAGTGACCTCCTCCCTTTCTCAGAATTTTCTCACTAAATAGGGTAAATCCTAAATAAACATGCTTCATTATATAGTTAGTACCTTAGGTTTCTTCTCTAGCCATTTCACAGACATCCTAACTTACCAGTACATTCGGAATACCTCAGAAGCAGGAATCAACGGGGGCTAATACAACACTCAGATGCTTGCCAAACTACCAATTCTACATAAAGTACATCTAAGCATCTTCTTCAACAAGTCTCCGGAGTTTCTCAGAAGCTCTCTTCACTCAGTAAATGGCCTTCACAGCACAGACCAAGCGTCTCAAAAGCTTCCCCCAAACTTAACTCACAGAGGATACAACGGTTTCCACAACAAATCCTCAGCTAAAGACTGATCACATTGCAAAGACCAACCTGTATCAACAGGCCTCTGACAGGTCTATGGCATTTTTAATGCCAAAACTCTATACTAGAAACTGATTCTAAACCATGACTATGACAATTACAGACGCATCCCTCCCGGTCACTCCTGAGAGCAAGCAAAAGGCCAAATGCTAAGGCCACCTACCACCTCCTCACTCTCCATCGTCCAATGCTCTATGCTCTAAACCCCCCCCACCCCAGTACTGGCTGATCACGCTGTCAACTCAGCACTCCAGAACGGAAATTCTCTCTCCCCCTTTCTATTCCCTAACCTGGTTAACTGCTCCCGAGATATACTCCCATCACTCAGTCTAGAACCGGAGCATCAATCGAAGTCACTCTCCCTTCATATCCTTCCAACAAACTCTGTGGGTTCTTTCCACAGTCCCTCCACCAGCATCTGAGCCTCTAATTTCTACCTCCTCCAATCCAAGCCCACAGTTTGCTCAGGTAAACATTCTCAAGCACAAACTTTGACATCAATCTACTGAAATGCCTTCAGTGTTTTCCCCAACACTTAGCAGCTGAAACCCGGGTAAAAGCCCACAGCTGACACCACCTTCTGCAGGGTCATCCTCTGACACCTCTGCCCTTGGCGTCCCACCCCCACCAATCAAAACCCATACTTCTGTAAGGCCGTGGGCCCTCACCACCGCTGAGTTTACTCTGCTTGGAATCCCTTTCTATTCCACTCCCTGTTCACTTGGCTAATTTCTACCCTAAGAAAATTTTCCCTTCTGTCGGCCCCATTCCAGGCTGAGTGAAGCGGTTCTCTGTGTTTCAACAGCTCCCTACCTACCACAGATTTGGTTGCTGTGTTTTTCCCTATTAAATAATGTGAAGAGAAGTGTGCGGCTGTAACACGGTACCTGGCACAAAAGAGGTATAGGTCAGAAATTAGAACTGTCACTGAATACAGAAGTGGAACAGTAATTTCACGTGACCTTTTAGAACATTTTCAAGGTCCTTGAAACCTTGATACAGCAGGAGATGAGTGCCCAGCTGTCATGAGGATTCATATTAATTTGTAATAAATCTTTATACTTATGAACATAATTTTTTCTTTTTCTACAACTTGTATTGTTTTGGTTCCAGTTTCTGACAACATATGGGTTAGAGATCTTCTGCAGCAAATGATGTCCTAGGGTTATTTTCAAATATCTTACTGTAAACAGCAAATTCCTGAAATCAGCCCAGGTACTAAACAAAAAGTGAAAACGAAACTGACACTTTATTTCCTATTACATGCATTATGTGTATTACATTATCTCATTTTACTAAACTCTCATCTTACAAAACATAAGGAGACTAAGGCTCAGAGAGGCTAAACAAAGCTGAAGGACACACCGCGCAGCACGCCAAGTGGGAGAGCCAGATTTCAATGCAGCTACAAATTCCATGCTCTTCTCACGTACAGAGAGATGCATATATCATGAAAACCTAGGAACAGCTAATTGAAAGATAAAGACCTATAAAAAGCACTTACCTTTGAAAAAAAACTATTGGCAAGATTAAATAACTATGCATTAAATTGTACACACTTGGCAAGTTACTACATATGTATAATCAAAAACATTAAATATTAAAATGAATCTCCACTGAAATTAAAACATTCGATCAAATGCTTTAAAAAATCCAATAAGAGTAGTTTTCCTTTTAAATCTATTCAGACCGTTTAATATAGATAGTTGATACATATATACTACCTTCTTTTGAGCAGCTTCCTTCTTTTTCTTGTCGTCTTTTTTCTTTTTCTTTTCTTCCATCAACTGTTCTTCTTCTTGCACTAAATCCCTGAACCACACAGTTGCAATTAACTTTCCCAAAATGTATTAAGAGATAAAAATAATGTTGCATACAGATTCATTTTCACTCTTATTAGAAGACATGGAAATTACTCTTTTTATTATCATTCATTGAAATAAACCCCAGCTTGCAACCTCCATCTAACTCTGGAGCTACTATTTAGTACTCTGTTTTAGTAAGTCACAAGTAGCAGAGCTTTGATCTTCATGTCAAAGAAGACAACCTAAAATTAGCAAATTTTACTCTGGGAAACAAGCTACTCCCTCTGATTCTAGAACGTAAACACCATGTGAACCAGAGTTACCTTGCTTCTGGCCCCAATTATCAATTAGTAGCTAGTAGCAATGCCTCAGACCTCCCCACAATCCCCTCCCTGCCCAGGTACGTGGGGGTATCGTTGGCTTTCCTTGCTCTAAAAAGCTTTATTAACTATTTTTTAAACATAAGTTATTCATAAAAAAATCATGTAGTTCAGCTTTACAATAATTTCATATCCCATAAACATTCCAAACTATTCTGGGAATCAATAATACACTCATTATAGAAGTTTGTTTCAATTCTTAAAATCACAAATGCTGAAAGCTGTCAACAGAACCCCTGGTTCAGGATTTCAAAATGATAGAGAGACTGGGTAAATGGGTCCACTTCTTCCTTTCCACTCCACCTTATTGAAATGATAGGAAACAAGGTAATGTATCTCTTCTGAGCTGAGGCATACAGACAAAAGCAAAGAAAGCTACAGCGCAAGAATAAACAGGAGACAAGTCCTGTATGGATGCATGTGCCATCCTCCCGTGGAGTTCTAAAGAGGTTCCAACAGAGCTAGGAGAGCAGAAACAGGTGTGGAGCAAAAAGACTGCCCAAGGATAGAAAGGCCAAAACTACTCAACCCCTCCTACCCACCTCCCACCCCTTGACGACATGGCCATGCACAGCAGCTACACTTGATCCAGCCTAAAACTGAAGAAACACTCTCTAAAGAAACAAAACCTAGGCAGGAGGCAGGCAGGGCTCCTGCAAGGGGTATGGTGCCCCAGATCAAAGTCTTCTTTATTGGAAACGACCACCACTCTCCTCCATCACACCCTACAGTGAAGCCTGCCAATCCCTACACTTCTCAGACACAGAGCTCAGTACCAGCCATTCTGGTCAAGGCAGGCGCCACTAAGGAATGTGGAAAATTGGAGGAAAAGTTAAGAGGAGACTTACTCCAGTTACCTACATTAGTAACCCTAGATTCTAGAACCTAAACCTTCATCCATAATATCAAGAGACAACCAAAAATCAGATACTTGAAGAAAATCAACAAAGAGAAAATACCTAACTCTGCCCTGAGGAAGGGAGGAAGCTTCCCAGAGGGAACATTATCAATAACAGACAGACAAGGCAAGGTTCAAGGAACATGAACTAGACATTTGGGGAACTGCAAATAATTTATCAAGGCTGAAATGCAGATGGCAATGGGGATGCAGAAGAGAAAATGAGAAAGACAAGCAAATACAGAGGAAACTGCAAGGGCTGCCACAAGGGGAACACACTCAACTTAAGCTGGCTTGTTGACGGAGGAACTGAAGAGAAGCCACAGGTAGGCAGGCAGCGAAAAAAGAGTGACATCTTGGATGACTGCTGGTGATCCAGCAAGGCTGAGTATGTGACTGCTAAAAGCAGTCAGAAGTTGAAAAGAGAGAACTGTTGCTATATTCCCTTGTCATTTTGTTCCCAGTAGAACTGCCATGTGGCTAACGGAGTAGCAAAACAGACTCACGCCAACCACAACCATGACTCATTCTCGCCTCTTCTGTGTGAAGGAGGCAAGGAGAGTGAGCAAGTGAGCTCACACTGTAATCCTGGGTAAGCCAGGGACCGACCTAGCCACAGCATATGATTACAAGTAAAATCATTAAACAAATGAACTTACATCACTGTCATGTCATCCATCAAAAGCAGATTACTAGCTCTAATTACTTAACCTTCTACAGCCTCAGTGTCCTCCTTAAAATTGGAGATTAATTTCTGTACTTCTACTTCATAACATTTTTGTAAGGATTAAATGGAGAGCACTTTCTTAACACAGTGTCTCTAGTGAGCACTCAAATGCCTAGTTATGAACTCCACTCACCAGTTCTCAGCGGCACCCAGGACTGTCTTTACTTCTGTCAAGATTTTATGGGCACTTATGATGCAAAAACATCAGAAATCTTCAGCATTTGTTCTCTGTGTCCTCCTGTGAATTAGACACAGGTCCTTGTCCAATCTTGTTTTCTGTCACTATAATTCTAGCCTATGGCTGCTCCCTTACGATTTACCTGGAATTTTTTCTCTCTTCTCAAATTTCATTTTGAAGGCTTTTTGATGAGGTTAGCAAGTGTTTTCCTGGCCCAAAATGGTGGCTTTAGTAGTTAAGAGATGTAGCACGTTAGCTCTCAAGGAACTATTACAGTATCAGCTGATACTGTAAGCACAGGGGAGAGTTCTGTTCTTCAGCACTGTCACTACAGCCAACTGACCACACCTGATCCACATCTCCTCCTTCAGGAAGTCCAGGGGAAATACATATAAATATAAATATACCACCTGTGCCCAAACACCTGTGCTCAAACACTTCGGCTTTCAGATTTAAATGCTAGTAGATTTACTTAAGACATCTGACTCCCTCATTTACATATCTATCAAAAGGAGCAAGGGTTGGATCTGATAGGTCAAAGTGGTCATCATATTTGACATATGCTCCACAAAGACAACATTCCAGTCAGCAATCATTCACTCCTTGAAGGTTAGTGGCAGGGTACCCCAAATCTGCAAGTCCTAGACCTAGGAATGAGAACAAGCCTCAGAGTGATTAAAATGTCAGTGACTAAGGGTGTATGGGTGGCTCAGTCAGTTAAGCGCTGGACTCTTGAGTTCAGCTCAGGTCATGATCTCAGGGTTGTGAAATCAAGCCCTGCACCGGGTTCTGTGCTGACCGTAGAGTGTGCTTAAGATTCTCTCTGCCCCTCCCCGCCCCCGTCCCTCTCTCTCCCTCTATAAATAAATAATTTAAGTAAATGTGAGTAACTATGTTGGGCACTTTATGTATATTTTCCCATTTCATTATTATTTTTAAAAAAATGATAGATGTTACCCTTTTATTGGATGAAGAGACTGAAGCGCAGCAAAGTGAAATGAATTGTCCAAGGTCATATAGCTAGTACAGGGTAGAGACAAGATTCAAATCAAGGCTCTCAATGTCCTGGTCTTTCCTTTACAGTATGAAACCTCCCACAGTAAAGTACTAGCTCCTTTTAGGAGCCACAGAGAATAAATCCTTTTGCCTTAGACAGATTAACTGCCAGATCTTCTTACTTACAATATATCTTTTCCCCAGGCTGTGTGCCTCCCCAATCCTTTCCTTATTTCCTTCCACCTTGTACAAGAACACTTATAACAGAATGTACTGCAGGAAAGACAAAGTATTACAGTTCCCAGAACCATGTGATCAGGAGCAAGAACAGGGGAAAAAAAAAAATCAAAGACAAAGACTGAACAGCCACTGGTCTCAAGAGGGGACAAGGCACTGGTGATCTTTAAGAGAACAACTGCAGGGGTACCTGGGTGGCTCAGTCATTAAGCGTCTGCCTTCAGCTCAGGTCATGATCCCAGGGTCCTGGGATCGAGCCCCACGTTGGGCTTCCTGCTCTGCGGGAAGCCTGCTTCTCCCTCTCTCGCTCCCCCTGCTTGTGTTTCTGCTCTTGCTGTCTCTATCAGATAAATAAAATATTAAAAAAAAAACACAACTGCAGCATTTATTTTGTGAATGTCTGTGAGAGGGCGATGTGGGAGAAACAACTAGATGCAACTAGTGAATGGCTGTAAGGTCCCACATCTGAGGAGTTCAATAACTTAAAGAGAGGGAAATAGGAAGGTAGCTAGAATGGTACCAGAAACGAGCAAAAAAAAATGTCCTTGAGGAAAAACTCATGGAAATGCCAAGTGCATGACAGAGTACATAGTATGCTATCATCTGTGTAAAAAGCAAGAGAGAGCATATGCACTCCCCTTTTTCTGTATGTGTACAAAATGACTGTGAAAGAACACCTAAGAAACAAATAGCGACTGTGGGGAGGAGGGAGGAACTGGGCAGGTGGGGGATGGGAGGAAGTCTCTCACTGTACAAACCTGTTCATATATTTTAATTTCTGATTCATCTGTGAATGACAGCATTAAAAAAATTAAATATTAGGGTGGCTCAGTAGGTTAAGCGTCTGCCTTCAGCTCAGGTCATGATCTCAGGGTCCTGGGATTGAGCCCCGCATCGGGCTCCCTGCTGGGTGGGTAGTCTGCTTCTCCCTCTCCCTCTCCTCCCCCCACCCCCGACTTGTGCTCTCTCTCTCTCTCTCTCTCAAATTAGTAAAATCTTTTAAAAACTTAATTATTAAAAAATATCCAACCATTATCAAAAACTAATGATGTAATATATGGTGATTAACATAACAATAAAAAAATAAAAAAAAACCATTGGAATTTCCAAAAAAAAAATATCCAACCATTAATATTAAATAAGTGAATTTTAATATTTAAAAAGTAAAAGACTGTTCTCGCTCGGTTTCTGGTTTGCTGGGAGATTCGGTCACGGGTGCATGCTATACTTTGTTAGATTTCTTTCTTGTATCTATTGAAATGGTTATATGATTTCCATCTTTTGATGGCTAGTATGATTAATTGTATTGATCGATTTTCTAGTAGTGAACCAAGCTTGCATTTGTTAGTATAAACCAAATTCTAAATACTATTTTTGGGGCACCTGGGTGGCTCAGTCTGTTAAGCGACTGCCTTCAGCTCAGGTCATGATCCCAGGGTCCTGGGATCGAGTCCCACATCGGGCTCCCTGCTCAGCAAGGAGTCCGCTTCTCCTTCTGCCACTGCCCCCCCCCTTGTGCGCTCTCTCTCTCTCTCTCTCTCTGTCAAATAAATAAATAAAATCTTTAAATAAATACTATTTTTTTAAAAACACACTGCTAGTTTTTCTTTTCGATAAATGCAAATTAAAAGATGAAACTCTAATGTTATACCTTTCTTCTTTTTTTTTTGTTTTAGTAATTTTATTGATAAAATGTTCAAGAGTAATAATATCCAGTGCTGGCAAGAATGAGAGTTAAGAGGTTCTCTTACATTGCCAGTGGAAAACTACTACAATCTTCTGGGAAGTAATGTGGTAAGAATTTTAACAACTGAAGTTATATACATTCTAGCCAGCCACCCCATTCTGCAGAACGTATCTGATGGTAATAAACCCCTAGAATGCAAGGCCATGTGCACATCAAAGTTCACTGCAAGGTTCACAAAGGCTGAAAAGCAGAAAAACAGAATGTCCCTCAATAAAGAAATGGCTTTTCTATGGTATAGCATAGCATGTTGTACTGAAAAGGAGTTGATCTGTTTATTAAATCAAAGGAAATTTTTTAAAATTTTTTTAAAGATTTTATTATTTTTTTAAGTTACCACTACACTCAGCGTGGGGCTCAAACCCAAAACCCAAGATCAAGAGTCACATGCTCCACCAACTGGGTCAGCCAGGTGCCCCAGGAATGTTCCATTTTTAAAATAAGATAAGCAAGTTGCAGAAATGTGAACATGTTATCCCGTACTTTATTCAAGCTGTCTGTATGTGTATGTGAACAACTTTATACAAATTTAGAGAAAGACACGAGGAAACACCCTCCTGAACTAGGAATATCAGAGTAACCTCACAACTGGACCAAGTATTTAAAGAAATTATTACGTTTTTTAAAAAGTGCATCTCAGCTCTGGCTGGCTCAGTCAGAAGAGCATCTGACTCTTGATCTCAGGGTAGGGAGTTCGAGTCCCACGTTGGGTGTAGGGATTATTTAATAAATAAACTTAAAAATATATATATATCGGGGCACCTGGGTGGCTCAGTCGTTAAGCGTCTGCCTTCGGCTCAGGTCATGGCCCCAGGGTCCTGGGATCGAGCCCGGCGTCAGGCTCCCTGCTCAGCGGGAGGCCTGCTTCTCCCTCTCTTACTCCCTCTGCTTGTGTTCCCTCTCTCGCTGTGTCTCTCTCTGTCAAATAAATAAATAAAATCTTTTATATATATATATGTATCTCAATTTGAAATGTTGTGTTACGTGTACATTTTTGTAAATTAGTACCAAAGTAATGTTTAAAACACCATAATGTCCAGAATTTCCTTTCACTATCCAGGCCCCACCCCACTGCTCAAAAAAAAACAGAAAAGAGAAAAATGCAAACTGGGTAATGGCTGCATGTATCTTCCTGATTCTGTTCTCTTCTAATCTGTGTATGTTTGAAATTTTCCATAATAAAAGAAAAAATTACAAGCCTCCACACAAATGATCAAAGGCAACAAGAAGGGAGATTAGAGACAAAGGAAGAAGCAGAAGAGTGTCAGAACCAAGAGTCCCGGGAGCAGGAAGAGGTGGGTAAGGCGAGTGCCCGTGATGGCAGCAGGGCACAGTTGGGGTCTAGAACGTCCTTCCTTGTCCTGCTTTTCCTGATGCTTGATGGGTCAGTTTTTTCTACATCGCCAACATGACTACCATCGTAAGTGATCACTTCCAAAGGGTACTCTTAGAAACTGCTGTTGAAGTATGGACTAATAAAGCCCACTGGTGAAGAATTTGGAAGTATCTCATATCAGATTTTCAAATGTCACTACGTTATGACCCATCAATTCCAATCAAAACCCATAAAAAAAGAAATTGTAAAGAAACAGATACTGCAAAATAGCCTAACAGCCAGTCAGTAGAGAAAAGTTAACAAACCATAATGTACTCATACCATGGAATCCTACACAGTAGTTTAAGAAATGGAAGGGGTGGGGGGCACCTGGGGGACTCAGGTCATTAAGTGTCTGCCTTCGGCTCAGGTCATGGTCCCAGGGTCCTGGGATCGAGCCCCGCATCGGGCTTCCTGCTCCGCGGGAAGCCTGCTTCTCCCTCTCCCACTCCCCGTTTGTGTTCCCTCTCTCACTGTCTCTCTCTCTCTCTGTCAAATAAGTAAAATCTTAAAAAAGAGAGAGAGAGAGAAAGAAATGGAAGGAGGTTTGTAGATTTCCATGGTGTGCAAAAGAGTTAACACAGCAGGTCTGAGACTGTGATCCTTAGAAAGGCTGGCCATTGGCTGGTGTCAAGGAAGCTGGATTTCAGAGAGGTTCCCACCATTCCCTAACTGATAAGAGTAAACTGTACAAGCAATACAGTTTATGCTGAAAACCTTTCCTTTTGGGAATCTGGAATTTTGGTACGTGTTAGACAGAGGATGCATACGTGACTGGCCCCTATCAGAAACCTTGGGCACTGAATTTCTAATGAGCTTTCCTGGTAGACATTTCACACATGTTGTCATAATTCAATGCTAGACAAATTAAGCATGTCCTGTGTGACATGACAAGGAGAGAACTCTTGGCAACTTGCACCTAGTTTCCTCTGGAATTTGTCCAATGTGCCTTTTCCCTTTGCTGATACTTTTGATGTAATAAATCATGGCCATGAGTGTAATTGTGTGCTGAATCCCAGGGAATCATCAAACCTGAGGGTGGTCTTGGGGACCACCTGACAAATAATGGCTTTACAGATAAATATCTCTAGGACACACTGCTGAGTCAAAAGAAGGTCAATATTCAGATCAGCTTATCATTTGTTAGAAAAACAAGAGGAAAATCCCATTAAAAAGTACACATTTTCCACAGTACAGCAGGGAAGCAGACCCTCAAGGTACCTGGATGAGCTGACTCTGAATCCAAAATTATTTCGTGATAACCTATGCAATGTTTAGTCAATAAACCAATAAAACTGTACTTAGGAATTCCTATAAGCCAAGCAGTCTCTGTGGACTGGGAGAACCTAAGCAGAAAACATGATTTTAAACAATAATTTTGTAGAAACAACTGGACACACCTGAAAGAAGGAAACAAGCAGTCTTTTGATAGAGGCTGTAAGCAAGTTTAGGAAAATAAGACATGCACAT